GAATTCTCTAGTGACCCATAGGATGTCAATCAGAATATAACACAGAAGTGAAGCTATGTCGTTTGAACTTCAGCATTGTAGAACTGAGAATTCCCACCTAAAGAACAGAATTTAAAGTTTAATTTTAAACTTAGATTTTTAATTGCAAACCTTACGAGAATTTTACTTATAAGCATTTGGGGAGCTATTTCCTTCCAAAGCTGAAGTCTACCTTGCCTTCAGATTTATAGAGTCACTCCACTTTATAACTGCATGTGCACACACAACTTTTTCTTTTTCTCTTTGCAGGTGGCACAAACCAGGAAGGGGAAGTCTGTGGTTTAAGTTGCTTATCCCTTATCCTCTGGCTGCTCGAGGCTTGCTGAAGGCTGTATGTTGTTAATGCTAATTGTGATAGGGGTTTTGGCCTCTGACTGACTCCTACCTGTTAGCATTAACAGGATACAGTGCCTGTTACTAGCATTCACATGGAACAACAAATGGGCGCCGTGGGAGGATGACAAGACCATGAGTCACTCTGCTGGATGAATGTAGACTTCAGACTCTGTTGGATAATGTGCTAATCATAACCTGGTTACTAGTATATTCCACTGTAAGTGTTACGATAAATATCATTTAAAAGATTTATCAGCAGTATCCCAAACGACATCTCAACTTCAAGCCCACATGTTTATTTTTATCTTGACTGGAAAATGAAACTTGTACCATTTTTATTCGAAAATTATGTTCATAACCATTTTTCAACAGTTCAACCAGAATACAAAATGAATACACCACAATGGACATTTCTATAATATTTCTGTAGCTAGGAATTCAGAACTGCCATCACTGACGTCTAGGGTTATCTGACCTCTTGTGAGACTTGGAATTGGCATTTTTTCCACGTTACAGTTTATTAGTCAGCTTTTATTTAAAATTTGTAACTCTTGTGTTTTAGTTTAAGGAATAATTGAGTCAACACTGAATGATTTTTAAAAATTTATTAGCCAGCTGGTGGTAATTTACACCTTTAGTCTCAGCACTTGGGAGGCAGAGGCAATCACTGAGTTAAAAGCCAGCCTGGTCTACAGAGTGAGCTCCAGAAACAGCCAAGGCTACACTGAAAACTGCCTTATCAAAAAACTTAGAAAATAAGATAAAGTATTAAAAATTGACATGACAAATGATTCCTGAGAGCTACCTGTATTTTCCTCGTACGGTACAAATGTTTAACTTAGAAATACTCACATCTGAAATGAAACCCCAAGTCTAGGTTCGAGTTTAATACTTTAGCTGTGCAGTAAAGCTGTGTAGTAAGGAGACCTACCTTTTCTAAGTATTTCTTCATGGACTGAATGGGGATGAAACTTTTACAAGGTTGGTGGGTAGCTTACTGGAGATGAACAACTATTTGTAAGATAATAAAGTCCCACAGTGATGTCTTAAAGCTAATCCAAAACTCACCCCACTCCCTGATGTAGCTAATAATTTGATATACAGAAATTTAATGTTTGAATGTCTATGCCATTTTTCTCCACAATATCACTGGTGAACACAGAGACAGCTGTACTTGTTAATTTAACATATACCTGTTCTGATAGTTCTCCTGAACGTTTTGCCAGTGTCTTCCCTATAGCCAAATAAATGTTGTGAGTCTTTAGTTGGCTTAGAATACTTTTTGTTTGTGATGACCCTCTTCCTTTTGCAAAGTACAGACTGTAATTTCAGAAGATATTTACACAAAAAGACAGTGGTATAAGTCACGAGGACAGTGAGGGGAATGTCCCTGCCTGCCAGGACAGGGCACCCCACCCCCACTGCTCCAATGCTTTCTGCTGAGGATGCTGCCAAAATAAATTCCTCCTCTTAACCCTTGGATTGATCCTGTGGTTCCACAGAGGTCCTGTGGAGGTGAATCACAGTCACAGTGTTTCTTTGGACTGTTATTTCTTCAGCTACTGTCTAGCTTCAGAAGTCCTTGTATTGAGGCTCAATTCTTCAAAATCTTTTTACTGCCTACAACCACAATATCACAGCATGCTAGGAACCCACTGGGTTCTCTTTACCTTCCTGCAGTTCCAATCAAAAGCTCTGAACATCACAAAGCAATGTAATGCCTACTGCATGCTTTAGGCAATGACTTGCTCCAAGTCTCAGCTTCTCCATCAGTGTACGCATATCTATGATGTCTATTTTATAAGGAGGTTCTGCTTAGATGAAATACCACAGGATGGAGCACAATTTCTACTAGCATTTAAGTGGTGAATACATACAAACCTTGAAATGTTTACATTTCCATCATCTAAAAATCAAGACACAGCAGGTGTCCTTGGAACACTCCAGCTCTACAGCTACAGTCCCACCCTAACCACCCACACAACCCAGACGTGGCCCACTGGCTGGGTCTTCCTGGAGGCCAGCCCTATTAGCTGAGCTCTTTGCATCACAGATGGATTATTCCTGACCAACATTTCCAGTCATTCCAAAAATTCTTGGAGAATGAGTTAAGGCCGGGTGTGTTTGGAGTGGACAGTAAGTAATGAGGAAGCCAGTGTGTGTGTGTGTGTGTGTGTGTGTGTGTGTGTGTGTGTGTGTGTGTGCTCACGTGGCTGAGACTGATTTAAACCAAGGGCAATTTTCTGAGGGCTGAGGAAGGAAATAGCAGCCCAATTTTGTGCATGTTAGACCCTTCAGTGGTGGTGCACGCCTTTAATCCCAGCACTTGGGAGGCAGAGGCAGGTGGATTTCTGAGTTTGAGGACAGCCTGGTCTACAGAGTGAGTTCCAGGACAGCCAGGACTACATAGAGAAACCCTGTCTCAAAAAAACAAAACAATATAAAACAAAACAAAAAAAACTAGAGGTAAAAAAAAAAAGACTAGAGGGAATGAAGCACTGAATTACATTGGATGACCTGGGCACAGACCCATCCTCCCAGCCATTTGCTAAGTTAGAAACCAAGTTTTTTCCTGGTCTTCATGTAAGATTCCCAACAGTGGGAGCAGGGGCTGTGTCTGACTGTTGCCTGACTTTGGGACCCCTTTCATCCTAATGTGCTGCCTTGTCTAGCCTCAATAGAAGATGCACCTAGCCTTACTGAAACTTTGTATGCCAGGGCTGGTTGATACACATGAGAGGCCTCCCCTTTTCCGAAGAGAAAATGAGGGGGAGTAGATGAAGTGGGAAAAAGAACTGGGAGGAGAGGAGGGAGGGGAAGCTGCAGTCAGCATGTATAATTAATTCATTAATTAATTAGAAAAAGGTTTCTTTAAAGAAATTAATTAGGAAATAATTAATTAGAAAAAGAAACCAAGCTTTTCCTACTCATTATCAACAGCTAAATAAACCTACTAGCAGAGGCAGGAGAGGGGAGAAAGCTGGGACAGACTGAAGCACAGAAACTGTGGCCTAATATTTCTGAGACTAAACGGTCAGTGCCTGTAAGAATGGGGACACTGGAAAGAGATCTTGAAGAAAATTACAAGTGGGCAAAATATACATACAAAGAAAATTAAATAAATACATTCAAATATTCTTAACTGAGCAGACCCACTAAGTACCAAGAAGGATAACAGCTTGAGAGACCAGCACAGGTATAGAATGTCATAATTCTGTAACAACAGAAGCAAGGGCTCACAAGTGTCCAGCACAGACTGAGATCTGGTGGTGCAGAGGTTCAGATTAAAATCAAACAAGAACCAGACTGTCAGTCTTGTCAGCAGTATCACTTGCCAGAAGCCAACTGGACTCTTTCTGAGTCCTGATAGGAAATTGTTTTCAAAATAGAATTCCATATCTGGCCAACCAGCTGCTAAAAGCCAGCACAGCTAAAAGCCGGTATAGAAACTCAAGTCACCTAGGCTTACTGATTTTCCCCTAGGAAGGACTGGAAAGATCAACTCCAGGAAATGGGAGCTGGGCAAGAAATAGACAACAGAATCGGGGGAAAACAGATACTACACAGGGAAAATGAGGTCTTCAGATAAAGCCTGCCACAGCTTCCAGGACTGTTCAGACTACAATAGGAAAAACATTTTGTTTTGGCAAAGTCTTTTAAAAAACAAAACAACAACAAAAACAAAAAGTCTGCTCGAAGGTGTGATAAAGCAGATATTTTCAAGCACTGCTTGGAATACCCCTTGTCTAACCTGAATGCAGGTTAGGAGGTGAGTTACGAAAGGGATATAAAGCTAATTCTTTTCTAGTTCTAACACTGCCATGTGTTGTTTATGGTTGGCAACCATTAAGTGCATATAAATAGAGTCAATCAAAGGGTAAAAATCAAATGTGATACTCCATGGCCTCTGCTCTGAATGGCTATCTTAATTGCATGGAGGTTCGCTGAGTATGTGTATAGACTTTGGGCCTAGTTAATTTTGGTATATGATATTTCTTATTATTTGCAAGAGTTTTATAATAAAGTTTATTACAATTACATATATATGTATATTTATATATTTTAAATCTAAAAAGAGAAAACCCACTTTTGGAGGCTAGCACTTGGTAGCATCTAACAGTACTCTACTATCAGAATGCAAACTTATCCAGGTATTCCTGTGGGCAGCAGCACCTATGGGAGTAGAACAGACTTGGTGAGATCTCCTGCATTCTCCTTGTTGATGAAACAAAAACACTGTCTCAACAGGTTGTGGGAATTAAATAAAATGCTCACACCCTAATCCTAGCACTTGGAAGGCAGAGGCAGGAGGATTCCATAGCAAATTCCAGGCCAGGCTTAACTACATACTGATATACTGAGACCCTGTCTCAAACAAAACAACAGAAAAGCTCAGCGGGGAGGGGGCAGCATGGGGAGGTTGGGGCTTAGCACATTGGCACGCAGTAACTACACAGTTAACAACAATCTCCCATTGACACATTATTTTGAACAAGGATGTTTACTATACCACTCTTTAAACAGCCAAAACTAGCACACATACAGTGTATTTTCATGCGTCTATAAACGGGGAGGGGGCATGTGAACCTCCTTAAAGTACTGTATCCACAGAGCAGAAACAAACGTACATTGTATTAAAAGCTTTTATTTTAATTTACTATACATATTTAAACTTCAGAGCACTACTGGGTGGATGTGGTGTCCTCTGTCTGTCTGATTTCATCTTCAGTTACCTGTGAAAGACATCAGTAGCTTTACCCCTCTTCCAGCTCTTTCAGCCCACCTTGTACACAGTTCACCCCCCACTCCCTCTATGAAGACCTGTCCCACTTTCCTTTAGGGATTATTACAGAGTTCAACAACAACAAAAAGCCAAGTTCTGTATAAACCACCAAGTGTGTCCATTAGAAACTATATAATCAGAGGCATATTATATGTAGGCTTCCTAAGTTTCTATAAAACAAAAGCATACCGTGAGAAAACTTAGCAGAACACAGGGTATTCTTCATCAAGAAGAATGTGTCTTACCATGGGCACATTTCTGTTTGGAATAGACTGTTACAGATCTAGTGCAAACGGATACTAGTATGTTCCATATTCCTATCCCATGGACACAACTGTCATGAAAAAGTAAGCAACTTGAAAATAAATGTCATGTGCTTATTAACATGTTTGTCTATAAGCCTTAATTCAGTTTAGTGTTCAAAGGGTGACTGGAAATTAGACTAAGTAGGAAGGGCTGTCGAGGTAGGTTCACAGGGCAGCTATCAGACAAGAGTCAAAGAGTTCAGAAAATGTTAACAATTTGACGTATGCAGCTTAAACACTAAAGACATATTTGAATCTAGATTCCAGGGCATTTACACATTTAACAGTCATGGCAACTTTGAATCTGAGAAGCCTTAACTTGAAATGCTCATTAAATTTATAAAATTTAAAAAGGTGGGTGGCTTCAATTAGGACTAACACAGCTACTAAGAACAGTTATATCATTTCCCTTCCAGTTCTACAGTATGAGCTACATGCTAGTAACAAATTTAAAGGCAAATTATAGCTGTATTCTTGCCAAAAGACCATCGGGATGAATAATCACTGTTAGTGAGACAAATTATTACTCTCTGTTCTTTGTTTGTTTGTTTTATTTTTGGTTTGTTTTGGTTAGGTTTTGGTTGTTGCTTAATTTCTAAGAAGTTTCTTCATAGAAGGAAATCTCTGAAATGGAAACTTACCATTTTCCGTGATCTTTCCAATAGTTTGTTCCATATTGTAAACTGTGCCTGAAAGAAAATATTTACTATAAATGACATAGAGGGAAGCAGGGTTTTTAGATTTATCTTATCTTTACATGTGTGAATATTTCGCCTGCCTATATGTATGTGTACCGTATCTGTGTCTGGTGCCTGGAGAGGTCAGAAAGGGGCATCAAATCCCTGAAACTGGAGTTATGAACTGTTGAAAGTCACTGTATGGATGCTGGGAGTTGAACCCAGATCCTCTGCAAAAACAAGTACTCTTAACCACTGAGCCATCTCTCTAGCCCTCCAAAGGAAGTACAAATTTTTACATAGCATTTTTAAAAGATTGTGTGTACATGTCTATGTATGGGCATGTACATGTGTGTGGTAGGTTTCCAAGAACACTAGAGGCCTCAGATGGCTAGGCTTGAAGTTATAAGTGGTTGGAGCCACCCTGTGTGGGTATGTATGTGCTCAGTCATCTCTCCCATCCCTTTATATAGCTTTTGAAACCCAGTATGAAGATGTGCAGATGTGTGATACAAATGTGAACTGTGCAGAGCCCGCTCCGCTTGGCTGGGACATGTTCTTCTTCCTCCTTCATCCTGCTACATCATTTCCATCCATCCCGAAAGCATTCTTTCTAGGTGGAAGCACGGAGGGTGCCCCACTTACCCAGACACTAGAGTTTTCTTCCTAACAAGCCTATCTGAGCCTGCAGAGGTCACCCTTTAAATCCTATCACACGCACTCACAGAGGAAGTCATTAGGACCAACTGCACTGCTGTGACACTGGCAAAGTCGGGATTCAGCAAACTAAACCACCCCCAAATAATCAGAAAGCTAACAAGGTGACACTGAGGCACAGAGGGACTCAGTGATCATTTCACACAAAATGAGCTCAGAAAATCTTTAGTAAAAGGCAAAATTATTAACTGTCTATGGTCTGTGAAAACCCAGAGTCTGGTTTATTGAAGGGAGACCACTGCAAAGTTGGGGTAGGAAGAATTATACAATCTGTATACGGTACGCCTATAATCCCAACTTTAGAAGGCAAAAGCAGGGAAGTCAGAAGATCAAGATCACCCTCATCTATAGTGACTTCAAGGTCAGCCTGGACAAAAGAAAGAAAACGCATAATGGGCTAGGTCAGTGGCTCAGAGGTTTAAAGCACTGTCCATTCTAAGGAACTCAGGTTTAATTCCTAGCACTTACTTGGTGGCTCCTAACCATCTGTAACTCTAGTCCTTGGCATTTAATGCCATCTTCTGGCCTCCATAGACCACACAATACACAGATACACATGCAGACAAAATACTCGTTCACACAAAGATGTTTTAAAGTAAACAGATGGTTGTGATTACAAATTACAGGCTACACTATGGAGCATGAAGATGAAAGCAGGAAACAGACTAGCAATCCAGCAGGTCGTATGCTGCTATGCAGTGGATAGGTTAGAATCAGAGTGTGCACTGAGCTAGGAGTCGAAGGATTTACTAGTGAGTGGGAAGGAGGAAAGAATCAAGGACTCTCTCAAGGAAGTTTCTATGGGGAAGACTAGGGCGAGAAGCACGAGTGCAGAGAAGTCCAGCGTGGCACACTGTGTCATCAAACTCATGAGTCAAGCTCTGATTCTATCCTATCGTCTCTCCCTTCAACAGCACAGTCTTGACTGCTCCAGCTATAAGCAGGTTGTGAAGGCAAGATGGTGACCCTCACATCACAATCTACAAAACTGCTTTAACTATGGCAGCTCCTCTTCCCTCCTGGGCTTTATGTATTAGAAAACTTGGAAAGAAATGAAAAAATATTTAAATAACTGAAAAATATCCCATATTAATATAGTAGGAAACTGAACATATTGAAGGTTTGGTGGCTTTGAATATGTTTGGCCCAGGGAGTGGTCTGGTTTGAGTAGTTGTGGCCTTGTTAGAGAAAGTGTGTCACTGTTGGGGTGGGCTTTGAGACCCTCCTACAAACCATGTGATAGGAACCGGTCTTCTCCTGTTTGCCTTGCCTTCCAAACAAGATGTAGAATTCTCTGCTCCTCTAGCACCATGCTTCCTGCCTTTATGATAATGGACTGAACCTCTGAACCTATAAGCCAGCCCCAATTAAATGTTGTCCTTATAAGAGTTGCTTTGGCCATGGGTGTCTGTCCACAGCAATGGAAACCCTAACCAAGACAAAACGTAATTCTTTCCAAACTACTAGAGAGGTTTACAGAAATTCCTGTTATGATTCTGAAATGATTAGACTAAAGTTAAATGAAATGCAAAGGAATTACAGTAGTTAAATTTTTATATAAAAAATATATATGAATATACATTTAGGAAGCTTCTAAAATATGAGTTCCAGACAGCTCTTGTAAATGGCCTTAGAATAAGATACCTCTCCTCCACCCAATTTCTCCAACCCACACCTACACCCTCCCCGACCTAAGCCATCCTCCCCACCATACTCCCCCCCTTTTTTCCTCTGCCTATCATGTGTTCTACAATTCTTCCCCCTCCCCACCACTTTCCTCACTCCTAGCTGAGTGACTGACAGCAAGGGGTGCATGTTGGTTTTCTTTAAGGGTGAGGACCCTGGTAGGTCTACCACATTCTAATGATGACCTAAGACCCATGAGTAGTATATGGGCAGCACAAGCTGGACTCAGTGGGAAATAAAAATGATGGCACAAAGCTGGAAAAGTTAGAAGATAATGGATGTGAGAGGAACTAAGGGAAGAGGGGAAATAAATATGACCAAAGTATACTGTATACATGAAATATCAATTAATAAAATTCATAAAAACACATTGGCCAGGCATAGCACATGCCTTAATCCTAGCCCTCTAGAGGCAGAGGAAGGTTGAACAGGACAGCCAGGGGTATGTAAAGACGTGGTCTCAAACAAACAAATATACTGGGAAAAATGCAATTTTGACAAAGACTAATAAAATGGGAGAGATTACTCTATCCCATTCTGTGCCCTTTTTATACTACAGCAATGAACACTGGTATGAGAGGTGGTGCGTTTGACCAGGGGAACAGAACTGAAAGTGCAGAAGCAGCCCCACCCAGCCCATTATCCTATAGCTACGTCCGTACCCTTACTGCAACATTTGTTTTCTAAGACATCAGCACTGAAGAACGCAGCCACGGGTGTGTGACACCTATTATTTCTCATACCTGCAATTACCACAAAGTCCAATGTTTACAAAAGAATGAAAGGAAAAGCTTGAGCAAAAGTGGGGGCAATGTGGGAAGGGGGCGCCATAGGAGGTCCAGGGCATCCGGAGGCCTTGATGGCTGACAGGCGCCCCATGCCTCAGTGCACCATCACTTTTTTCTCCCAGGCTACTTTGGAAAATTAAAAATACTATCTTGATTTGACTGAATTCTTCCAACAACTGTTTCTTCCTTGAGTGAACCTTTACTCCTAACCAAGTGTGTTTCAAATCATGAAGAAGTTTGCAAAAGCAGAACACAAAGAAAATGGAAATGCATGTTCTTCGAAGCTTTATAAAATCAAGTCTAGACTCAACACATCCCCAGCCTAAAAGGCTCGGTCGGAGCTTCGGCTCTACTTACTCTCAAGTGCGTGGGTAAGGACAGACCCTGAAATCGGCGAATGAGGCTGGGCTCACTGGGATGAAGATTGTGGACTGCTGACACTTCATACTGGAAACAAACACTTGTTCTGGGAATAAGAGGGCCTTCACTCACGTCAATGAAGTCGCCGATTCTGGTTTGATACAGAAAATAAGCAAAGAAAACCTTAGTAGCAAATCACAGTGGTTTGAAAAAATCTAGTTCTCCTGCTGCTATCTCTCAACTCAGAAGTAACGTGACTCAATCCATCTGTCAAAAGCCCTGATTTACACTGTCAAGAGGGTAAACGGGAAATTATGAGATAAATCTTTTCTTAATTACAATTCATACAAATATAAAGTATTTTTGAGTCACGGAACACATTATGCTATCAGCATGCACCTTGTCTAAGACTAATAACTAATACCTATAACCTTACAGTAACCACAGTAGCCAAGT